TTAATATTGAACACTTCTCCAGTCACCCACTCACTGTGGAAAATTTGTGTGTGTGTTTTAATCTCTCTTTCTGTGAGACAAAAAGCAGCTCTGTGCTCGTCTCTAATGATACCTGAATCCCAGGGGTGAGAGTGGGGACTGAGAGCGGCTCCGGCAGATTCATCAAACCAAATATTGTGCTCCGGCCTCAGGAGGCTGCAAGTCGCACTGTTATATCACTGTTAATTAAAATGAAATATGCTATTAAATTATACTGTGTATTGTTGCCTGACGGAGTGCACGCATGCTAAACGCGGACCATTGAGGCAACAATTGATAGTTAACAAAGGTTTCGCACTCTCCCCCCTCCCCCCTCCCCACCCTCTGTGTTTCTATCTCCATATCGGTGCTTCTTGGAAAAAAATCTCAAGGTGCTTACTCAAGGCAGTTTGTCTGGAGATAAAAAAGCAAAAGAGGATTATTTCCCACATTAATTTTTGTGATTATTGTTATTCCCTGTCACTGAGAGAACTGTCCTTTCCTATTAACATTCTTTAACGTACTTCCCTGCACTGATAAAGCAGGACGAGAGAGGAGAAAAAAAGACACAGAGCAGGCCACATTCCCTTGCTGCTTCTTATCAGCACTGCGAGCTTGTCTGGCACGGCCATTTGGAAGGGGTGACATTGTTTCTGTGGTGGTCAGTCGCTCTCCCCTGGCTCCTTTCATCTAAAGCCTGGCCTTTTCTGCTCCTGGAGCTGAGCCTGTCATGGCTGCACCTGTAAATGCAGAGACCTCTCGGCCCAGGCCCCTCACACACCTGCCCGCCCTCATGCACACGCACAATGAACCACTCCTGGCCCTTGCCAGTGCCCCCCCGAGACTGGCCACCATCCCAGCTGTTCACTTTATTCTAATGCACTAGGAATAATATTAAAGCCGAATCAGACGAATTTATTAATGCGGACAGACCCCTCAGAGAGATGCTTTTAAAGGCCAATGATTTAATTTAAGCTCTTAAAGGCTACCCCTCCGCACTTGATATATTGCAGGAAATTGTGGCTGGGTGTCAATGAGTGCGATACTCCCTCTGTATAAATAACACGCAAACTACAGCTTCTGAAAACAGAGCTCACTTTCCGTGGGCTGATCTGCCGTCTTGATTTCTCATTACCTCATTAATATTTTCACCCTAATGCTTGATACTAATCTTCACCTTTATACTAAGCGCTGTCAGGCCTTTCCTCATCTACATACAGCACAGGCTGAAAATAATATAAGGCAGTTCTTTATTCCTACTTTTTTCAGACTCATGATCAAGCCTGCCCTATTGTAATTATGTTGCCTATACTGGTATTGGTGTAGTAGTAGTATTGGTGTCTAATTTTTAGTTTCAGTGATACTGATAGACAGTGGGGAGCCCTCAGGGAAAGCCTAAAGATTTTTCTGAAAAAAAAAAGTCTGTATTTTTTAGTTCATTTTGAATATAAACATTATAATAAAACTAGAAAGTGACAGTGGAATCAGCCAATCACTTTTTGATTTCCAGTGGGATAGGATCATTTTTGTGAGGAAAAAAATGTGATTGTAAGCCTTCTGGTGCACCAAGATACATCACTGATTGCGAATAGGAGTGGCATTTTGGTCAGTATGTAGAAAACAGTGGCAACTCTGTGCCAGGACTGTTTATGAAAAGAGTGACTTTAAAACTGCTACAAGGTAAAATATCTTAATATGCCTGTGACATGCTTCAAATAAAATATGAAATGCCTTTTACAATCTTCAAATCTCAAAGTTTAATCTAAAATCGCCAAAATGTGTTCATGCCAATGGCCATTAGCTTAGCACTAACATAGTACTGGAATCCCATTGGAGGCTAGCAGAAATGAGCATTATTGTAGAGGTGTTTTTTTTCCCTCATTTTCAACTGAGTCTGTTAACATAACAAAAACTTATCAAAATACCTTACTAAATGAATAGTCAGTTTATGGTTTCTGTATGGTTAATATGTAAGACATATAGGATATCAGTATAGTTCATTAACGCCTAGGCTGCAGTGGTATTCTTAGCATGTAGGCTTAAGGTTCCTCAGGTGATGGCAGCTATGCTAGCACTGCAATCCCAAGGTGTTGCAAAACCACTCGAGACTTTCATTTGGATCTCATTAGCAACTGATTTCAGGCAAGTCTCTCCACTTTATTGGTGTCATGGTTCTCTCTCAGACTCAAGCCTAACCTCTGCAGTCTTGAGCAGCCTCAACACTCTAAACTCAGACAGGTCTTGTTTGTTTTCACTGGCTACCTGGGAAAAACAGATGAAATCCAAATGATGTGACACTTGTAAGCTTACAGGAAGTGTTTGCCTCTTCTTCCTACCTGGGAACATGGCAAGGGAGGGTCACTGTGCCTTAATGAAAGCACTTGTGCGCCAGTAATAAGCCAAACAGTAGCTGGCTTATTAAAATGAGTTTCGACTGGCACCACGTCCAGAAGGGAAAAAGCCAGGGACCCGCAACAGAAGTGGCAGATTCTCTCTCACTCTCTGTTTGGTGCATGGTGGTTTGATGCCTGCTTTGGGGCTGCAAATCAGAGAAATGACTGCTTAAAAAAAGGAGAGGAAAAAAAAGAAAACAAGTTGTAGGGGTCCTTGCACACAGCCTGCCCGTGGTGCTGCCTGAAGGACTACCATGGAAACAAGGAGTGCGACAGGCTCTTGAGGGACCTGCCACAGCTGCAGGCGCATCCGTCCTGACAGGCTGATGAAGACATCAGTACCACGCCGAGCACAACAACAACGAAATAGAGAAGGATGATACAAGCCGTGTTAACTGCTGCGTGGTTGAGATGTTCATTAGTGAGCTTGTGAAACATCCAGGGATTTGAAATGCTTTCAGGGACCATATTGCCTGCTTAGTCTTCTGTAGAGATTTGGGTTCTGGATCCCAAGGGTTGGACATATATTGATAAATAATTTCTTAAATATGACTGTGTGTATACTACAGTGAAAGCAAGTGGCCGTTGTGAGAGTACTTTGCTTGAAACCCTTTGTCTGCCGATGTCTTTGTCATTGTTTTTTTAGTAATGCAGATGATATTTCTATCTTGCTGATAACTGCGCAGATGACAGTTTTAGCTGCCTACGAAGAAAGGATGAATGGAGCAGATTATCATTTTACACTTCTTCTTTTCTGTAGTACTGATGCTACATACAGTATGCAACATGCAATTTAGCCATGCAGTATTGGACCATAACTGAAAGCTCCAATTGATGATGATAAAGTCCTTGATCTTTTTTCCACAGGTAATTGTATGTAATTGGCGGCTTTTCATTTCATGTGCATTATTGAGCCAATCTGGTTTTTTTTTTAAAGAATGCCTCTGCTGCAGCAAAAAAAGAAAAACACTTCACTTCCACTTAAAGTTAAAGGCAAGCTTTCAAGTCGCTAACCTGATGACTAGCGCTTTTCTGCTAGCATTGTTTAATTGGTTTCACCTCTCGCCGGAGCTTGATTGGGTCTCCTTTAGTGAGCGGTTCTCTCTCCCTCTCTCTTCAGTCCCTTGTGGAGTTGGTATAGGCAGAGGGCTGGAAGCTTGTGTGTGTGTGTGTGTGTGTGTGTGTGTGTGTGTGTGGGATTCCTTCTCGTCTGAGGAGGCTGCAGGTCACCTCCACTCCCCCTCACTTTGAAACGGACCCCTGGTGGCAGCTCCTGGGAGAGCGCCGTGATGTCTCTATCAGACTGTCAAAAGAGATCGCCCGGGGCTCTGGCGGGTCCCCCGGAGCCAATCAAACTCTTCACGCCGCACCCACCCGATGCTCTTTCACCAGCGGAGGAGTGGAGATAAAGAAAGAAAGAGAAAGGGGGATAGAGCTGAGTTTGTTTTTGTGTGTGTGGTGGTGGGGTGATACTCAGTACTCCAATCAGTCAGAACAAACTCCCCACGCTGGTTGCAGCACTCTTCTGTACGACAAGAGCCATACATGACTCTGGCCCGCCATAGCTATTTTTACAAAGCGGCTGCGTGGTTATTTACCTCACTATGTTAGGGAGAAAAAGAGAAGAGAAATGAACTTAGAAAAAGTTTCTCATCCTCTGCGGTTTGCTTCCGTTTTCTGAAAGATAATTCCTTCATCGTAGATGAAGATCCCTTGGGATCAGAATCAATGCCAAAATTCTTAATTAACATCCTTAAAACGAGAGAGAGGGACCACTCTCATTGTACAGTGATGATTAATATACTGATCATCATTTAATTATAATAATTGCATATCAATGCTTTCTATGGCTCGATTCAAGTTGCTACACTTTTGAAAATGTTGCTTTTTTATATAAAAAGGCCCTCTGATGGAGGAGGGACGAGAATGTGTGTATAATATGAATAAATAAGTTGATGAGGCAGGGAAGCTCCATTTACTGTACTTGGGGCTCCATCACTGAGAACAACACTACAGAGTGATGGGCCTGCTAGAGAGCCATTAGGCACTGGAGGTGATTTTAATGAAAATGGGAGACACTAAGTGCAGGCAATGGAGAGCATATTCTCTCTCTCTCTCTCTCTCTCTCTCTCTCTCTCTCTCTCTCTCTCTCTCTCTCTCGCTCTCCCCCCTCCCCCCCTCCACCCCAATGTGTGTGTGAGCGAGAGAGATGAGCTCTCTCATCTGGACCTTGTTATTGTGATAGAACAACAAAAGCAGTGCATTAGCCCGCTGCTCTGGACACGCGGGGGTCTTTGATGTGTTTCTCGCCAAGCGGCGTGCAGCCGTGGCCACAGTCCTTCACTAAAGCAGGGGTGGGCTGGCTAATCACACAGGCTCACCGCGCGCCACTGTGTTTACACACAGAAAGGATCCTCCACAGCTAATGGAGTGCTGAGGACGTAAGCAACGGGGAAAAAGTACACTCAAGAAGTCAAACCATTAGTTAGTGCTAACATTTTTTTATGTTTCATCTTTTCACAGTATACAAAAGGTTGAAAAATACAGATTGAAGTATTGTAAAATCATATGAACCATATAGTTTAAGTATAAAGTTTACCCCAAAAAGTCATATTTACATTGGCCTATATAATAAATTTAACTGACATTTGAAAGTGCTTCAGTATTTCATAATAAGCAGGCAACTTAGGATGCACATCACATCTTCCATGCATTTATACTTAAACAATATTTTCTGCCCTGTATGTACAATCTATACACTCTAGATTCTAATATACTTTAGCATGTCTGTCATGCTTTGAGGACTAATCTTTGTTGCTGAAAGACCAAAAAATGCTTTCCCAGTCCAACTCATTATTATAAAATAGAAATGCCGATGGGCTGAGCACATTAGAAGCCTTGTAAAATACTTAATATACACACATATGACTGCACACAGAAGTATTGCTTGGTAGAATTACTGTTAATACATTCCACTACTCTTCCATTACACTCTTAAAAATAATGGTGCTCTTAAAAAAGGTTCTTTTTGGATGCCATAGAGGGACTACATAAAAAGGAAAGAACTCAAATAGTTATAGAACCTTGACATTACGTTTACTTCTTTTCACTCACACATCTCTTTTTTGTCAAAAATGGTTCTTTAAAGAACCAAAAGTGGCTCTGCTATGGCATCGCTCAAAGAAGATGGATCTATACACTGGCCTGTGAGTCACTGAGAACCTCCTGTCAAAAAAGACACATGCACTCACACACACTGTGACATAAGAGAGGCTGGCAGCAACCACACCACAAGGAGTATATGAGATTGACTGCCCTGGAAGGTGAGCGGGGGACAGCCTGGACTGAACTAGAGAGCACCAATTTCACCACAGCCTGGCTTTTTCCTTTGGAACGCTAACGCTTCTTCTTCTGTGCACTCTGGATGCCAGCCGCTCTCAACTCGCCGTACTGCACCTGTAAAAACAAACAGTGCTTTGGTGGGAGGCAGGTAATCGGAGCTGAGGCCCGGCGCACAGTAATGGCTCCCCTGAGGAGAGCCGGTTGCAGGGGGAAAGCAGAGGCGGGCACGCCTGTAATGAATCATTTTTTAAACACAGGAGCAGAGGGGATTAATCACAGGGAGGACGGATTTGAAAAGTCAAGGGTTCCTCACCGATGCAGCAGCAAATACCCCTCCATACCCTACCCCTCCAACATCTCCAGCACCACTAGACAAACTATATCGGATGCAGATGTGTGCTGGTTGAGTGGCCCTGCCATAAGGTCATCGTAAGCCAGAGATTTGTCAGTTGTGTCCTTCCCAAGGAAACTTTTTTGCGCTGGACTAATTATAGCAGCTTCGTAGGCAGGAGTTTGCGTCTGGGCTGCTCTGGGCTCCACGGTTATGGATGATCACGCGCATCTTCTGGTCTCACTGAACACGAGGCTCACTTTTCCCTTTCTTCACGGGAACCTTCAACTCTGACCTCTGCTCCCCTGACTCCTTTAAGCACCGCTCCACTAAACTTCCACTGCCTGCGTCACACACTCCGCAGGTTTCTGTTACATACCCACACAGAGGACTTAATCGCTCAGCTTCACAATTTAGTTTAAAACACATGCAGACATGCTGAATTTACCATTACCAGAAGCTATCAATGAATTGTGCCTGCAGTCAAAGTGCTGTGTATAATGTTTGCTATTTCTTACCTTGAAAGCTAATTTCTCTGAAGAAGAAAAGGTATCATTTTGAACTGAAGATGGAGGAATCTTTGCTCATAACTAGAGATATATTAAAAGTTTGTATAAAGTTACTTGGTCTATGTGGGGAAAATTGCTCTCTATGCCCTGTCCAAATCCACAGTACATCCGATGTGCAGAATTAAGCAGATTAAAAAAGAAAGAAAAAAGAATAAAAATTCAGTTGATAGGCCTCAAGCATAAAAGTCATGAAACTGTTTTTCTTGTTTTTCCCCTCACAAAACAATAACCTGGTAGTGTGCCGTAAGGTAACGGAGCGCACACTAATTACCAGGCCATGATTATGAGAGTGGAGAGATGGAGAGAGAGAGAGGGAACAAAGACGGCGGCGGCTGCATCAGAACATGAAACCGGCCTCAGAACTGACAGATGCTTCTTATTTTAGGACAGAGGAGCTGCCGTCAGAAGTCCAGTTTTGAGGCTTTGTGTTTGAAGAACTGCACAGGCACTAATTGCCAAGTCATTTCAAAAAACGCGAGACAGGAGTCAATTTGAGCTTTTGTAATGCACCATTTATTTGGGCGGTTCACATCGTTTTTTTAGATAGAGGTTTGGAAATGACAAACTTATCCATTTTTGTACTCAATTTGCACATGTGCTTTCTTACTCTTTGTAACTGCATTTGACGATGGAGAGAGCACCCCACTGATCCTATGTAATACATTAATAACATTTTTGTGTTGTGGTGGTAGAGTGTTGGAGTGTTCTCTGATACTCTGTATCAAATTAGAATTCATAGCCAATGTTCTTCATTCATTCTATTCAAATGCTAAGTGTTCAAAAGCAAGATGGTTCATACAGTCATGAAAAGACACTTCAAAAGTCCTGAAAATTCAGCAATGTGTTCCATCTGTTTTTTTTTTTCTTTCTTTCTTTCTTTTTTCATCTTCTCTGGCTAACTGGCGAATACTGTGAGTCCCAAACTCACTGTTGCTCTGATTCTGTTCCACAACATCTGGAAATATCACAACCATGCAGAGGTTTATCACAGAGGGCTACAAATGCTTTCCCTACTCTTTGCCTGAGAAGCACCAAAAAGCTTTGGCTTGAATTGGTGTCCTAAGGGTCAATCTGAGTGAAATAACTGAAGGCCTCCTAACTAACCATCTAACAGGAAATGGTGCCATTGTGCCCAGTATTGGTCCTCTCAGCAGCCCAGCTGCAGACCTGTGATGTAACTGTGAATGACGCATCAGCCATGGCTGAAACTCCATTACATATGGCATGCAGCAAGACAGCACTGGTTCACCACTTCATTAAACGACTCCCACAACTTGAAGTGACGGGGAATGCCACCCAACCCAAGCACACACACAACCCCTGGCCAATCATTCTGCCCCTAACACCACCCTTCTTTCATCACGCACACAAAAAACTGATAATCAAGGACAAGGCTGAAGAGATATGGCTGAAGACAGATCAGAGCGGACCCCATCTGGGCAGCCAGGCCACTCCATCAGGACACAAAAAATTTGGGGTGAGGGGCGTTTCCTTTAAAGATGCGATTCCATTAAAATCAAACAAAGCCTGAGGAAATATCCCTGGCAACACTTGGGAATTTTACTAGAGCAAATAATGCAGCCATCTTAAGGGAATTCCTTTCTAGTACCCCTCCCTCTGTCTCTCTATATGTACAAAAAACAAACTCTTACCTTTTGAACATCAGAAGGTACCCTCTTGAGGAAATCCAGTAGTTCATTATTGTCAATGGCATGTGGGTTGAGGAGCTTCTTGGCAAATTTTTTAACACCTACACAAATAAGAATGTAGTAATAACTAAAGTTATCACACACACTTGCTAAATGTGTCAAATTACCAGCATACAAACTGCTATACATAGTTGTTTTGTGCTATCACAGCAGTCTTCTTCTAAGTGTACCTCTGGCAGACTGACATCTTGACAAATTCTTTTCAGACACAAGAGGTTCAGTGTTGAAGTAGTTTAACAGTTTTTTTATTAGAAATTATTACATTATTGCACTCACTTAAGGCCAACTGTTGTCAAATTGTTTTACTTATTTCAAAGTTCTTATTGACTTTTTCTTTTCATGTGTCTTGCATGTTTAGTGTGTACACTGGGAACAGCAGTCATCACTGGTGTGTAACCTTACTTTACAGTGCGGTACCTTGGGGGCACACACGGAGCCTTATTCAAGAAATGTACAACTGTACTCTCAACAGACTATACAACAGTAGATCAGATTCATGATTTATATCTGCTAGCTTAGGCAGTGCAGTGAAAATGACTATTTAAACACCTTAAGTCAACCATCAGTAAGCACTGCCTGCTTAAATCGTAAGTGACACTGATGTGTTAATATTTCTTGAAATGAAGATCAATCCATATGCTGCACCACTGGAAGCAGTGTTTACTAACTTACCCCATAATAAGACAATGTAGCGTAAAGGGATGTAGTACAGCGCAGCAGTAGCTGTGAACAGAACCACACAGGCCAGGAACGACAAGAAAGGCACCGACCAGTTGAAAGTGCTGTAAATAACATACAACTATGTTTTAGAATATTTACATAAGTGAGACACGTTTTGAAAGTCATCATAGTCTTCGTTTCTTATATTGGCTCAATTTTTTATGCATTTAGTCAGTAATTCATAAACCACTCTAACTGAGCTGTAGAAAACATGTATGCAGCTGCAACACCTTTCAGCTGTAATTTACTTTTTTCTTTTTTTTTTAGGTTGCTATAATTTATAATGCACTGGACTATAATGCTTGGACTGTTTGTTGTACCTTACCCTGCAAGTTTCAAGTGCACCTTTTCTGTTGGTAAACAAAGCTATCGTTCAGTTTGCTGTCATTCATCAGTTGGACAGGAACAAGCACCCCTTGAGCAACTTAGCTTGTATCTTTTATATGCAAAACAGCTGATCTTGTGTTCAAGTTTCCAATGTTAACATAGCAACTATTACAGTTACCACCTGAACCTACTTGAGAACTGTGACTTTTGTCCATGACTGTTTATTACTAATTAACTTCTGATCACACAGGCATCAGTGAGAGTTATGAAGTTACATTTGTGTAAAAAAGAATGTGGGGATCTTTTCAAAAGGGTGCTTAAATGTAGTTTTACTGGCATTTGAAATTCACAGGAAGTCAAGGTGGGTCTTTTATGGCCCACTGGTGTGCATGCAAAAGTGGCCAATAAGGTGGAATGGAACTGACAGGTAGAAAGTTCAGCGCTTACTTCTTTACTCTTTCTCCTATGCAAGCTACTTCGTCTAGAACGTTCTGGACAGTGAGCACAATTTCTTGAATCATATGGATTTTTTCCATCAGTCCTCTTTTCTCTGATTCCTAGAAAGGGAAAAAAAAACAGTGATGAGGGACATCAGTGGTTGGGAGATGGGTAGATAAAGAGCAGTTTATTTCCAGTGTGCCATCAGGAGTAATTCATCTACTCAATGGCCTGTAATGAGCTGCTGCAAATCCACAGTCTCCTCAAAATGAGGCGACTTCCCCTGTGCTGTCATAGTCTGAGCGGGGAGAATTTCAGCTTTTGTCGGCCACAAACAATAGAAGTGCATCACAATCAAAGATTAAGTGGGGAAAGAAAAAGATGTAAAAATGGCCATCAGCAATCAGGAAGCACATCAGAGAGACGAGAGAGAGACGGCTGAGAGAGCAGAGGATGCAGGAGAACTTGTTAGGCTGCTCAATCCACAAGTCTCCACTGGGCAAGTGCAGGCTTGTGGTGGTGTTTTTTTTTTTGAGTGCATGCTAGCACGCATCACACTTCTTAGTGTGAGGGCTAACAGCAAGATTGAGTGCGCTGCTGGACTCAGTGGATAAATCTATTACTGCCTGTGATCTTATGTGAGTGAACTTGCGCTAGTATATCTAATCTCATAATACCGAGCAATGTTTTTACTTAATATGAGTGGGATGGGAAATCCCATTGTCGTTTCTGTATTTGATGCATCACAGAGTATTGGGTTGCAGTGTAATTCAGAGACACGGACCAAATGGACTTCCTGAGGATAAAAAAAGAGAAAAGTCCATTTTACTTAGGGAAGATTGCCAGTATAATCTGAAGTCCAAAGCAGCATGATCACATCAGAGATTCCTTCAGCAATGAAGGCCTGGCGTGGAACTCTCCAGAGAGGAGGGGGTGCAGAGAGACAGAGAGAAAGCTGCAGATAACAGGAGTAATGCAAGCTAAAGAGAGCCAAGAAGCCCCACATCAAAAGGAGGGAATAATGACAGGAATAATGACAGCGAGAGAGAGTGAGCGAGAGTCAAAGAGAGGGGGATGAGAGAAGGAGAAGCATGTGATTGAGGGGAGGATGTGTGGTGTGTATGTTTATGTTTAAAAAAGCATCCCTCCCAGACGGCAGACTGAGAGAGAGTCTTTATCGGCGCTGCTGAGGCGACCCCCGGGAGACCCCAGTCACCACTCCCTGCTGTCACTCTCCATTCCCCCAGACACACACAGGAAACCATAGGAAACTGGCCATTCCCACACTCCGCACGCCCTGTCTGTGCACAGGGAAAGCAGTGGATAACCCAAATCTGTGCTTTTTAACCCTTGGAAGTCCAAACGTATCTCGACATTTTGTACTATTTAAATGTAATTGCATAATTACATAATGAATTAAATTTACATTAGATTTACATTCTGCATCCTCAGGTTTGAGTCTGCACTTTTGACTTTTTTCCATTTGTGTAGTTTTTATTCTTTCCATAGAACAAGACTGTATCCACAACGACTTTTCATCAAATTCAAATCATAATAATAAAATATGTTTTTGACTTTTACAAATTTGGTATTGCTTGAACGTTATGAATATACTTTCAAGAGAATTTCTTCAGTTGTTTCGATTACCTATGAGTGAGAAATAATTCTTAATGAATTATACTATGTCTGCAATAACTAAGACTTATAATGGTTGAAAGCTTCAGTCAAGAGAATAGTTTTTGCCTGAAGCATTAAATAAGAAGAAAAAGCACAACAGAAGTGCACTATTCCCACCTAAATGCGTTTGTGGTCTATGTTCCATATCAGTTCATCTCTTGGGTTTTTTCAGGCAGTGGAACAAGAGCTGTTTTCAGAGAGCTTTTCAGATACATGGTACTGTGTTTCCCAATGACTGACTGCCTGACTGTGTACACACACACACGTCCAGAATCTCATGTCAATCCACAGCCCCCTTTCATATCTTTATCTCAACATTACCTAAGTCCCTATATTATGGTAGGATTTCGTCTAATGGGAGACAGTTAACCTTACTCAGCTAGACTACACATATATACAAGATAAACTGTCTTAGATAACTTTCGCAAGATAGCAAGGTTAATGGGGAAGACATAGCAACACTAAGCTTTCATGCTAATAGGGACCAAAGGACTACAGAGTAAATCATTCAGGGGAACTACATGAATAAGCTCTTCAGATTATTATATTTCATCTTCCAAACACCCTTGAAGTCTTCTGTTTTCCCCCACATGGGCTGCAGATCCTCCATTACTCATTTGATGCTTGTTTTTTTTAACGTATGTGTATTGCCATGTGCTCCTTGCAAACTCTTCAGTACTCTTGAAAAACAAAATCAGGAGCAAGCCTCTGAAGAGGGAGAGGACGGGTTTTGGAGGGACAGACGACAAGAGCCGTTCATTTTTGCTGATTAGAAAACCCTTGTCATTTCAGATGAAATTGCGAATGCTGGCTTTTAAGGTGACTGGAAGCAGATTTGATCTGAAGTACAAAGGTAAAAAGAGAAAATGTGGTTTCACAGGGACACTAGGCACAATCAAAAAGCACCCAAAAAGAGTTTTAACATGCTTTTAATTTGTGTAAGTGGAGCCAAATTTGGATATTTATTCAAAGCCAGTGCAAATATTTACAACTCACTTATCATATGTGGATAGCGGAGAGGTGCAGTGAAATGAATGGCATGTGTTGTGAACCCGTAATTGTGACACAAATTGTCCTGTATAAACAACTTGTTTAGGATAGACAGTAGGCGCACAGCTTCTGGAGTCATAGCTGTAACAGAGGCGTGTGGGCCTTGGCCAATAAGACATCAGCAGTCTGCCATTTTGATACATGTTGAAGGTGATACAATGAAAGTATGGTATACTGACATGGAGTGTGTTGTGTGTGCGAGTGTATATGTGTTTTTTTTTTCATTTTTCTTAGAAAAACCTGCAATGTCAGGACTAACGAAATGATGACTTTATAATTTTTTTTACATTTTATTTTTTTAATCGAAAGGGCAAAACCATTTCTTTTGGTTATGGAGTTTAAGGTAAAGATTAGGTTTAGGATTAGGCATACCTTCTTATTACCTCCTGATTCTGATGTAGAGTACTGTTTAAAAGTCTTCATTTATTTAATTTCCAGTTACATCAATCATTAATGCAAGTTATTTATAGTTAAGTAGAGAACATATTTAGCAGAAAATTACACAGAAGCCTCAGCAGCGAAAATCTGAAATTTGTGTCCACTTTTTGCCTTTATTACAGCTTCCACTCTTTTCAGGTATCATGCTTTTGGTTTCTTAGAGACAAACTACATTCAGTCTTAAAAGTTGTTTGCACTGGGGTATTGCATTTTCTGCTTCTCACAATCCAAGTAATCCCAAATACATCCAGTGATGCTGAGGTCTGGACTCTGGGGTGGTCAGTCTATTATTCTGAGGACACCAGCAGCTTCTTTGATTGATTTGCAGATTTTTCTTTCTTCCTTTCAGACTCATACTGTTGAGTTGTTTTCTCATAGTGGAAGGATGGACAGAAACACCTGTATTTTTTCAGATCTGAAGCAAGAGTGAAGCTTTTCTCCTCTCTCTCAAAGACGGAAGCTTTAAGTACTGTTTATCTGATGGTGATAGTTTTTGGTTTTGGTAGTCTGTCAGGTCTTTTACAGTTGTTAGAAGTCTTTTGATATTTTTTTTTATAACTCCAGTTTTTTAAGCTCCTGTTTTTTCACTTATTTTCTTTTGACGTTCCCCTTCCTTATGCAAGTGGATTATCTTATATCTAATGTTTGCAGAAATATCTCCTAAAAAATGAATATCTTGTACCTAATGGCCGTTTTGAGCGGAAATAAATGAAAGGTAGTCTCTGACTTTTGCACAGTACTGTGGCTAGCTACACATATAATGTTGTTGTCTTAAAACCTTTAATCTCTGAAATGATCATTTTAAAGGAGGAGGAAAATATATTCTTAAATGTAGTGCACATTAATGCAAAGCTATATATCAAGTACTCATGAAAATTTTTAGTATTTAAAAAGTATTTTAACATTCTTAACACTTTTACATGTAAGTCATGCTCCTTTTCTTTCTCAGCACATTATGGGCCTCTTCAACCAGACCAGACAGTGTGCGGCAAGTCATGGCCCGAGGCCAAACACACAGCAGCCTCCCAGTCATCCAGGACACACATCCAGGGGGTTGGTTTTTTCTACCCTCTTGCTTTCTGGTTAAACCAGTGTCCATGTGCACAATCTGACTGGTACCTAAGGCCACAGGGAAGTCACTTTGCCTGCTCCTATGATTGGTAGGCCCTCTCATTCCCTTAGGACAGATTTGTGCTCACAGGGCAGGATCTGTTGTGCATTATTTCTGCTGTAGTAACATAGCCTCTCCTATCGGCTTTCTTTAGCCTCATTTCTCGGCCTGTGCATCTCTCAGCAAGACGCTTACATATTCTCTTCCTCTGAGGAAAAACGGCAGAAATACACAAGTGGTATTCGTAACCTGTTCAGAGGGGGATAGCCTTTACTCCCATTGTAACCAAAAGACATGGGAAAAGTATCACCTTTGAAGTTATCAAATTTAACACCAATCATTCTTTAACCCCAAACATGAGCCGCGATGGCTTTGATAGGCTGTGGAAAGCTACACTGCTTGATCTGCCTCTATGATATCAAATTTAAAAGGCACAGCTTAGACCCATAACAGGACTTTGAAACAAGGCCGCTTTAAATTAGAGCAGACAGCTTAAAGCAAACACAGACAGCTGCTTAATTAAGTAAATGAAAGGACATATTTAATTTTCACGTAATGTGAAAGGGCTTAGAAACAAGCATCAGAAGAAAAAAAAATCCATTAATTCTGATACTCGTGGCTTGTATTAAAAAAATCTTATCACTGTTCACTGACAGTGGAAACTGAACTGGTAGCTATTTTTTACTGCTAAAATCAAAACTAATTAGACAAATGAAACTGATTATTGTGGATAACATATTAAGCTAATATTATTTTCCAAGTCTTAAACACATACAGACATTTGCATTCAGTACTCATATAAGCCACATGTAATTGCCATATCATTGCTTTTTCTTTGGGCGCAAAGTCATTTTCTCCCCCCAAGATTTATTACAATTGTTTAGCTGCTGGGCATCAGCTAATGTGCTTGTGCGCGCAGACACAGACACACACACACACAATGTGTTTCATCCTTGAATTAGCTGCTCAGCTCAGACAGGATTTGGAAGAGAGACCTGTTTTTAACAGAGGGGTTCCTCTCCATAGATGAAGTTAGCCTGCGGTCATCACAACAGAATATATTTAGCACATTATGGATATGAATCCCGGGCCTGTAGCCACACAGCGCCGGGGTCATTGCTCAGAGGCTCGGGGCTCCACACTTCCACGCAACGCAGTCAGAAAGCAATAACACATCATCTTCCTATTAACTCATTCCTCTCCAGAACAGCCAACACAGGCTAATATGATTATGAGCCACATCAGCGACTATACAAATTTAATCAACAAGGCGCTTTTAATGGCTAACAGTTAAGAGTCTCTGACTACTGCCACAAATTAAACCACATGCTGGAGCAAAATGAACTAAAATTCATCTGTGATGAGCAGCTATTTACAACTGCATTATGTTTACTATAGAAAGAAAACAATAAATGCAACAAGAAATCTGTTATAGTTTATTAACCTAATGACCTACCTTAGGCCTGCAAATGGTTGCTGCCCTCCATATAAAGACAATAACACCGTTTATTTATTGAGCCTGAGTTCAACTAAAGACCAGCCTCCCTATTTAGACATATTTGGTGTGAAATTTTCACAATGCCTCTATTCCCCAGTGGAAGCTAGACTTCAATTAATGATTCCGTTCTGTGCTTATTTCTGTGTTTCAAAGGAGCACAGCAAAGCAACCAAATCCATTTGTCGTATGCGGGAGCGTTCCCCAGAGACCAGACTGAAACTACTAGAGGAAAAATGGTGCTTGCTGAGACGGTAACAGTGGCTGTCCTCATTTCCAGTGTGTTAAACTTGGATGTTGTGAGTTAAACACGCCAGCTTGAGGGACAGTGACGCTCGGCATAGCGCCACAAGGTCAGACCCACAGCTCTGTGAACTCTTAGGCTATGGTTAATCAAAAAGGTGGGGAAAAAAATGAGGCGAGATAAAAAAGAATGAAGTACCTTTTCATCCTCGTCTTCGTCCTCCGCCACAGACATGCTCTCCTGGAAGAGAAGGAGAGTGAGTTAGAGGGCTCTGCAAGGTAGACACATGTAGGCACCGGAGCATAAACAAACACCTCGTAATGAAAACCTTCTCTTGTACATACACCCCTATTGGGAGAGGCCCGTTGCCTTAGCAACTACATCACAGGGGTGACCCCACACAAAAAAGAAAGGTGAGCGTGAGGGGCCTTCCTCACAAGAGCTGTGTCACCACCGAGCAATCTCATTTCTCCACAACATAAACACACACACAAACAACAAACACACACAAAACAGAAGAGGGAGGGGAAAAAATGAAAAACATTTAATTTGGGCTGTCTGTGCCTGAATCACTGTACATCAAGTCACTGCTGTCACTGGCTGGGGATAGGATGTGACATTGCCAGGGAGCATTCTGCCGGGGAGAAGAGGTCAGAGCAAGGTGACAGAGGCGCACCCACACTTTAACATTGCTCAGAGTGCACTGCTCTGCCCAGAGCACTGACATGCAGGCCATGAGTTAGGGAGAATGTCGCTCAAAGGGTAGGATGCATTCTGGGTAGAGACTGAGGCAACAAACTTCCAAACCAGTGGAAATGGAGGTCACTCCAACTGCATGAACAATGCTAACCTCACATAAAACTTTTAGACACATTTAATGACATGTCTGTACAGGACGTCTTGACCAAATAAGTCTAACTGTACATATTTTGCTTTCAGAGTAGTAGATATTTTGCATGAAAGTTATGATGTAGCCGTCAATTATTATAATAGTTGCGACATGGAATAAAAAACAGGCAATGCTTTTGTGATAAGGACCAGGAAGGGGTATTTGCAAGGCTGTATGAATATCAGTTGCCAATAATATGACTGTCCTCAATAGACGCCTCCACCCTTAGAATGATCAGTGCTTTAATGGCAATAACGGCAGGTCATCGTTAGTAGACCACCTTCATTTATTTAATTTCCAGTCAGAACATAAGTTATTCATATTTCCGTGTCAGGAAAAAAAAAAAAACTCAACTGTATTATAATTTCAGAAATTTGTTGCTCTCCAAGATAAAAGCTTTAAGTTGCGTTTATCTAATGGTGACAGTTTTGGTCTACCAGAACTCCAGTAAGTGGATTATCTTATTTCTAATCTTGTCAGAAATATCTCCTGAAAAATGAATAACTTGGGCTTAATGGCAGTTTTGACTGGAGACTAAGCAAATGCAGGGTGGTCTCTGACTTTTGCACAGTACTGTACTTTGTACATATACAGTACATGAATACATGAAGATTTTGATACCACTTTTAACAAAATAATTGTAACAGTACATTTGTAAAACTAATGGAAGCCTTACAAGGTTATTGTTACTAACCAACATTCTTGCTTTAAATGCCTCACATTTTGGCTCAAACCCTTTCTATAAGGTGTATGTTCATCTCATTTAGTTTTGCAAATATTGAATTTGCATGTGTTACTTAATAAATACCCTTATTCCTTAATTTAAACAGTTTCTGTGTAATATAAGCGTCAGTTGCATCTTTCAGATAATGCTGAAAATGTAGTATGTACTGCTGATCTGGAGGGCTGTGTAGGCTGACCGCTAGTTTGGGATTTGCTACGCTGCTGTGTGGGTGAGGTCACGGCACTCACCAGGTCCTGACTGTGGCTGCCTGCGCCCGGGGGGATGTGGAAGTAGTTCCAGCCAATCAGCAGGAGAAAGAAGAGAGGCAGCATGAACAGCTCAAAGTGCCACACCGTCCCTACAAAGATCTGAGAGAGAGAGAGAGAAAGAGGGCAGACAGAGGGTGAGAGTCACGAAATGAGCAGTGAGTAGTGCTGCCCTCATACAACACTAGCCTACTCCCACACTCCCATACACACTAAGCCATCCAGTGCCCAGTACACCACCTCCTCAATAACACCACACAAATGTGTCATAAGACCTCTCAGCCCACATAAATAACCCAAGCAGACATTGCAGCCACATACTGGCGAATTGCTAAAATTCAATATCACAATATTTTCCAAACACTCTGTCCAAATGTATTCAAACACCCCTTCCAGTTACTGAATTTAACTACCTTAAGGCCCCCCCATTGTTGACATTGGCATCACATACGGCTTGTCTAATCTCCATAGAAAAGCACTGCCGATAAAATGGACATCCTGGAGCAGCCGCACGTGATCCTAAGGTCTCTATGACCAATGTCAAGCATTGACTAGAGAGGTAAAAGACCCCCAGCATTGGTCTCTGGCACTGTGGAACAGTATTCTCCGGCGTGATGGAGCATAATTAAATACTTTTGGAATGTGTTGGAGTGGCTTTTGTGATTCAGAACTATTTATCCAACATCATTACCAAATATGACTAATGCTCTTATGGCTGAATACAATGAACTCCTCACAGCAATCTTCCAACATCTACTTTGAAGCCTTACCAGAAGAGTAGAGGCTTGAGACTGCAGCAGTGGAGGGACAGAATCTCTATTAGTACCCTTGATTTCAGAACAAATGTTGGCTGAGCAGGTGTCCTCAAACGTTTGGACATACAGTGTATTTCACGGTATCAGAAATTTAAGTTAATTAATAAACGTTTACGAACCATGCGTCCTGAGTACTGGTATTCTAAAAGTCAGCTAAGGTTCTGGTATCTATCAAGACTGCAAAAACTAAAAATCACTGTTGTTGTGTGACACTGATACTGGTATAAGCATTATATCACCCAATGCTATGGCCTGTTATGGCCCTCCTGAAAATCACAATACTGCTATAGAACCTCTGTCATTCTGTGTGTGTGTGTGTGTGTGTGCGTGTGTGGATGAGGGGGTGTGCATACATGTTAGCAGCACAGCAGCAATTTTAATATTTTAAAATTCCATTTGCATCGATTAACACCATGCTGATGCCACATAATTTCACGACAGCAAAGCAGGGTGGCTGATGAGTTGGTCTGACATACTGCGCTCCAAATATTTTTTGACTGCAGTGTAGCCCTGATGTTAGACTACTGCACAGGAGCATACAGTACTGCCAGGATTTTACTTCCTCCCCTGCAAAGAGTCCATAAAAAAGCCAACAATTCTGGTAGCAGTAAGATGGATCATGTAAAACGAACAGTTTTTCATGATACAGTAACAGGAGACACATAGCAACCCTGCACCTCTCAGCTGTGCACTAATTAAGCTTGTTTAGGGCCAACCTAATGAGCGTTTCTGAGGGTTTGTCAATCAAAACATGAAGCAGGGGAAGGAGTTATAGGAAAGAATTTAGTGAGGAATGTATATATAAGTATGTGATGTTCAATACATGATGATGCAACATACTGGTGTCACAAAAATGCTTTTTTTTAACAACATTTGAATACATTGTGTCATATCTTCAGTCATGTGAAAAAGTAAGTACACCCCATGATTGGTTTAGACTTTGTCAACATATTTGGAGATACTAAGATGCCACCACCATGTCAGTTTCACTGCAATGCTGAGAATGATCCACCACCCAAATAATGATCCACCATGCTATTTTGCACATTAACTTACATTTGTACTGTACTTTAATTTTAATTACAATGAAAGATACCTCAAATATCTGGTCTGGTTTGCTCTTTTTTATTGGAGTGTGTGGTATCAAAAGAGTCCTCAGAGTTCTTTAGAAATAAAGTTGTAAATGAGTCTGGGAAGGGGGTTAAGAAAATATCCAAAATATTAGAAATCAATAATTTCACACATCATCTACAAGTGGAGAAAATTCAAAACCACCAACTTGTCTAGGCCAGGCCGCCCCAGCAAATGTAACCCAAGAGCAGACCTTAAAGTACTAAAAGAAGCCTATCAGAACCCCAAAATATCATCACAGGCTCTGAAGGTAGCTCTTGCCACTGTTGATGTAAAATGGTTCCTAGGATTAGAAAAAGACTGCACAAATGTGAGCTACAATGGAGGGGTGCCAGGAGGAGCCTTTGCTGTCTAAAAAAAACATTGGAGCTAGACTAATGTTTGAATATGAATAATGAATATCTAGGCAAGGACCAGAGACTCCTGGAACAATGTGCTGTGGACACACAAGTCAGAATTGTTTTGCCACAGTACCAGAAGCCATGTTTGGTGAAAACCGAAGACTGCATTAGATCAGAAGACCTCATACCAGCTATAAAGCATAGTGTTGGAAATGTTATGGTTTGGTGCTGCTTTGCTGCCTCAGGGCCAGGCCAACTTGCAATCACAGAATCAACTATAAATTCTCTTTCATACTAGAGAGTGCTTGAGAAGAATGTGAGACCATCTGTGAAAAAAAAAAAAAGTTTAAGCTGAAGAAGTAGACCTTCCAACAGGATAATGATCCTAAATATAAAAGTAAATCCACCAAGGAATGGCTCGTAAGGAAGAAGTGGAGGATTATGGAACGGCCTGATCAAAACCCAGATCTGTATCCCAGTGGAATGCTGTAGGGGGATCTGCTGTGATGATGCAGCTATACATGCAAGATACTCAAACATTGCACAGTTACAGGAATTCTTCAAGGAAGAATGAGCAAAAATTTCTCCCAGTAGATGTCAGAAACTGGTAGACAGTTATAGGAAACACCTGCATAAAGTTGTTTCTGCCAAAGGGGGCAGTACCAGTTACTGAGGCCAGAGGTGTACTTACTTTATAGACAAATAAAAATTACATCCCAGTTATTTATGTAAGTATTTATTTTAAATGATTGCAAAGTCAAATTTCCACTGTTTTTTGTTATATTACTTATCTATATAATTTCATGGGATGTACTTCCTTCACATGAGCGTACAATGAAAGGACCAACAGAAATGGTACAAAATGACTTAAAATAAAAACTCACTACATTAACATCCAATAAAATTAAGAGCTTTTTTCTTTCTCCTATAAAGTTGACATTTTATTAAGACAGTGATAACATTTGTAAATGAGCCATCAATGTTTTCCTAGTAATGTTAGTAGAAAAAATGTCATCAGATTTAAATTAAAGGTATCTTTCATCGTAATTAAAATCAAGGTATGGTACAAATGTAAATTAATGTATAAAATTGGGGTGCTGGATCATTCTCAGCACTGCAGTAACACTCCTAGTGTGTGTTGTGCTGATGCACGTGGATCAGTCCAGCCAACAGCATCCTGTGGGCAACGCCCTGTGACCACTGATGAAGGACTAGAGGATGACCAACACAAACTGTGCAGCAACAGATTAGCTACTGTCTCTGACTTTACATCTACAAGGTGGACCAACAACATTAGTGCGTCTAATAGAGAAGACAGTGAGTGGATACTGTTTTAAAAAACTCCAGCAGCACTGCTGTTTCTGATCCACGCTGATCCACAAAACAAACTAACACGACACCACCATGTCAGTGTCACTGCAGTACTGAGAATAATTCACCACCCAAATAATGCCTGCTGTGTGAGGGTCCTGACCATTGAAGAACAGGGTAAAAGGGAGCTAACAAAGTATGCAGAGAAACAGATGGACTACAGTCTAAAATTTTTGAATTACAAATTGCACCTACATGGGAAGTGGACATGATAAAATGGACAAAGAGTGTTTATCTATAAAACAGTACAGATACAAGGAGGTATACTTTATGAAGTGAACACTTCAAGGACACTGACCAACTGAATGTTTTATTACAGAGTATAATTAGTCTTGTTTAACTGAATTTAGCGTTATACAGTATCTGAAACACTGAACAAAAATCACTGTACACAAGTTTTTATTTTTATAGATGTGGCACTATTAGTTTTTTGTTGGCTGCAACTTCTCAAACCTGTGAAAAAACTAAATGTCATGATAAATCTTGTGTATTATGAAAATTAAACTTTTTATTTTTGCCATATAATACTCCTAGTACAATATTCCTAATAAAATACTTAAGAAACATTTATTGTGGAAAACCTTTATAGTGGTGTATTATGTTTGTTGTGAATTTAAATTTTCTTCTGTTTTATGTGGATTTCTCCATGTGCAGAATGAGTGTACTGTAGTGGCTAGAGGTTTTGCAGCAGCCCACAGAACAATAGGCGGGTGTGTGGCTAGGCGCTTGTTAGAAACAATATGTTTGACTTAAGCCTGAGACAGGCTTAGCTTGGACTAGGCCTTCAGGCCTGGAGTTGTAGCCCTGGTAAAACAGCAGCATGTTCCTGTCATATCAACCAGCATCCAGACACCATGCTCTGGGGCCAGTCTACCTACCATCACTCGCAGACAAGGTTCATGCACACACATACACACACATGCACACACCGCCACCGGGGATATGTGAACCGTGTCTAATGCACAGAGCGTTCAGCCTACACAGCCCCCCAGGCATTGCAGCAGCATGGTACACGTCTGGGGCTTTCTTTAATAATTCATAACAATTGTGGCCATACTGTACCATTGCAAGTGATGCCTTTCACCACTTACTGCTATTGTACCGTTATCTGTGAGGGAAAAATGATGCAAACTGAAAAGTGCCAGATGAACAGAGGTAAAGGGAATGGTGCTAAGCTTTGTGTGTGTGTGTGTGTGTGTGTGTGTGTGGAGGGAGGCCTCTGCCTGTCTGCTCTGATTTAGAGGAACCCATGTCATATTGTGTTACCTCCAGTCCCTGGTGGTTGTGTTCTGGGGCTTCCCCCCACCCCACCTGAGCTCAGCAGGTTGGCCCACAGGTAGCTAGAGCAAGAGGGAGAGAGCAAGCAAGTCTGCAAAATACTGCCTCTAGAACCACAGGACAGCCAAAACCCCTTTGCCCTCACCCACACAAGCCGCCTCATTAA